CCCTTCACCTTGTTGATTTCTCACTAAAAACCCTTACAAAAGTTCAAAAATAAATTTCGTTGCTTTCGACGCAACTTCATCTTTGTTATGGCGACCAGAAATGAAAACCATGTACAATTCATGAAAAGCGTCAAAATTGAAATGTGAGGAAGCAAAGGAATAACTCAAATAGTATTAATGAAGGTTTCGTACCACTAGATTTTGTCCCCAAAACCTAAACAGCGAGTTGTGGCACACCAGCATTCAGCAGCCGCTTACCTGCTGCAAATCGCGACTCTGCGGGTCGTGGCTGTGTTGCGATTGCGCCTATGCTACAGTGTTGCGATCTCAACTCGCGGGAGCCTTTTGCCGAGTGCGATTGAATAGGCAGTGAAGAGGAGGAAGAAATTAGATGGTTTGGGATGGAAGGTCTTGCTCTTTCGATGCCATATAAAGGTAGATATCACGGGTAGGTCGATTGAGAACGGTCGTAAGGGTTAATTAAGTTTAATTAAACTTATAAATTCTGATTTTTATAACTTTTAATTTATTCATAATTTACATATAGTATTATATATGGAATTGATCATTTTAACACGTAAAATTTTATAAAATTAATTCAAATGAAATCTCAAGGATGCAAAAATCTGGGATACATTATAATTCGCCAAAAACTTTACCTGATTTCACAAAACCGGTTATTACATGAACAATGTTCTAACAACTTGATTTGAGCTCAAGCGAGCATAAACATGGTGCAGACAAACAGGCATGGGCTCGAGCAACCTAAACCTCAGCTGGCTCGGTTCGTTTGCAGTCCTACTTTCAAAGACCCATTCTCTCATTAATTCTTTGCAACTCACCTTTAAGTTCAGAAACTCAGACTTTAATGCCAAACATTCTCTATTTAAATTCTCTGCCTGCTAGCAATGACCTTCCCTCATCTCTAATAATTATGTAACCAATTTTTTTTGTTTTTCATTTCTTCATAACATTTATCCAAAACATGACAATATCAATTGTGGCTCTATATATTTCACAAAAAAATGACAATGTCAATTGTGGCTCTATAAACATCTCTGCTTTTAGTGACCCTTTGGAGTCCTCTCCACAAATCTTTTGCTAAAGAGTTTTCCAAAGAACTTCACCATGATAAAAGATGTTTGTCATGCCAACGCCTGAGCCTACATGACGATGAAATGAAAATTTTCAGGCCCAACTTCCATTTTTGTTCGTATAAGAAGGAAAGAATGGCAGGACTGAGTTCATAAGCTAGGGAATAGGCTCCCCCAGAAGACTCGTGCATGCTTCGGTGAGGTCAATTTGAGTGGTTGTTCTCTCAGCATTCACACCAAAATTCCACTCTTCTACTAAGAAAAAGTTCTCACAAAAGATGTTTCTACAGGAAGGAACACATTTTGCTTGAGTGGCTCTACCTAATCATGAGCATTTTCACAGCCTTACCCTTCCTCCTCACGGCTAACTCTTATTGTTTCTTCTCTATCAGCACCTCACTGTCCCGCAGCTTCATGCACTTCAACTGGAACGCCCGCCTCAAGATGGCAAGGAAAACCAAAAGAAGAAGGCTTCCTTGAGGATATTATTAAATTATTTGTACCCCTTTTTGGCAATATAATTTATCTATCAGAAATAAGGAGTAAATAAGGGCTTGTACCAGCAAAAGGCAAGATGGACAAGGGAGCAAGTTCAATTGGCTCTAATTCAGCCTCATCTTCCTCAGTTCTTGGGGCCCTTTCTAACTAATAAAAGAAGATTTCAATTATCAGAAGGAATTCATAGAGCCATAAATGTAAAAATTCAAACAAATATTACCTCAAAATCTTCCTTGATTGACTCATTCGCGATAGCCTAGCACCTCTTTTTTCCCTTTGTCTAATAGGGTGAAACCTTATCATCTAGCAAAGGAGCACCATACAAATGAGCTAGAAGATAGGAGAAAAAAATGTTAAAAAGTTGTTTCTCAACAATAGTCGTGGAACTTGGCCTAAGGCTGAAATTGAATTCAGAATCATAAGTAAAGGCAAGTAAGAAACAATTCAAGTGAGATCATCCTACCCACAAAATTATAGTTCAAGAAAATCTTCACCGTCAAATCCAGCCTTTTTTAAATTAGAAAACTCTTTTCGCCCTCAGGAATTAGCGGGAGCAATAGCATCCTTTCTACAGGAATAGATGAGGATGAGTATATATCCGTCACCCGTCCTTACTCATGGGCAAAGTATTACCTCGTCTTTCAAGTCTTTATCTTACATTCCAACCCGAATAATTTGATGTCAGCTCCTGAAAAATAGTACAAACCTATCTTCCTATCCCTTAAAAGTGAAAAGGTGTCCAAACAACAACAATTGCCAAGGCGCCTCAATTTCTCATTTCAAGTAGCATCACTTGCACGGGATGATACCCAAAAAAATTAAAATCACCACTAACTCAGTACGAATTGGAAGCTTCAACCATAAGTGAAATTGATCATCAAATAATATGAGCTCATTATCATGAATTGAGTTGGGTAACTCAACTTTCTTTGCAACTCTCAATCTAATAGATGTGTTGAATACAAACTCCATTTACATCACATTCATGTCCAAGTCTGAGAGCTTGGAATATCTTGAGAACTCGTAAGACAGATGCTTGACTACTATTGATGAATGTTGAACTCATTCTCAATATATTAAAGGAAGAAGCTGAAAAGAAAGAAGAATGGCAAAACTAAAGGTGAAAAGCTCTAGGATTATTTTAGAAAACATACTTTTGAAATTCCATCTTAACTATTCATTTATAAATAATAAATCACGAGGGCATTACGATAAAAATTGAGATATTATTTATATTCTTCAAGTGCCACACTTATAATAGCAAGAATTTAAAAACATCACATCAAAATAAAAGAAAATATTTCATTTTATCGCTAAGTGTAAAACATTATTACAAAGCTATTTCATTCCACAAACCTAATAATGGTCATTCCTACCAAGAAAAACTTCAATGTGTGATCTAAAGCAAATTCTAGGGACTCAACCATTCTATCATTCGCTTTAGCACAAACCCCTTGCCCAACATGAGCTGATTTGAGCGAGTTGATTCCAAAAACATCCGAGACAGAAAGTTCGCCATTTACATCAGCCATACCCCTTTGTAATTCACCAAGGGAATTCCTCAATTTAGACAACTCGTCCTCGGTCCAAATATTTCCAAGGCGACTCAACCTATTATATAATAGAAGCGGACTTTAGCTATTCAATTTTGAGGAGAATTCTTCAATCTTACTGAAATTTTCGACATTTGAGCGTACTAGAAAGAGACATTGAAGTCATTGCCGAAGTCGTATATTTCTCTGAAATTATCTCTCTAGGAAACAAAGTAGATTATGTATTCCCATCAGCAACACATATCACCATATATGCAACGCTCCTCCCTGTCGAAGTATGAATGTGGTGCTAGAAACAATTGACAGAGAATGCAACCCAAAGGTCAACTCCATCAATTCATTATCATTCAGATCCAATTTGCTGATCATCTTCAACTAGACATGTTGATCCTCAGATCGCTACATGTTCATAGGGACTAATGGGTCAATCAAATTCCAAAATTCAACCAATATTTGATGAGAGATAGGAGCCTCAAAAGGAACCTTCTCAAAAGACCACAAATCTTCAAAGTGCTACGCACTGAACAGTCCCAAAAGGTGATTCAACTGTCTCAGGTAAAGCTCTCGTAAAAATGGTAAGTCAGCCAAAGACAGTACAGCAGGAAACCCATCTTCGGGAATCGCAATCACTACCTTTAAAACCCTAATTTTGTTCGCCCCCCCCTCAGATCCAATTTGTTGATCATCTTCAACTAGACATGTTGATCCTCAGATCACTACATGTTCATAGGGACTAATGGGTCAATCAAATTCCAAAATTCAACCAATATTTGATGAGAGATAGGAGCCTCAAAAGGAACCTTCTCAAAAGACCACAAATCTTCAAAGTGCTACGCACTGAACAGTCCCAAAAGGTGATTCAACTGTCTCAGGTAAAGCTCTCGTAAAAATGGTAAGTCAACCAAAGACAGTACAGCAGGAAACCCATCTTTGGGAATCCCAATCACTACCTTTAAAACCCTAATTTAACCCTTATGGATAATAGGTTACTCTTCTGATGCTTTCTCCATCAAACAAAGAGAACAAAATAGGAAGATAAAACATGAGAGCAGCAAATTTCTCAACAAAATGATAAGTCAGCCAAAGACGGTACAGCGGGAAACCCATCTTTGGGAATCCCAATCACTACCTTTAAAACCCTAATTCCCCCCACCCCCCCCCCCGGGCCAACCCTTGTTCATACGCTTCCCAAAGAAGGTCTCAATTAGATTAGTTTTTTGGATAATAAGTTACTCTTCTGATGCCTTCTCCATCAAACAAAGAGAACAAAATAAGAAGATAAAACATGAGAGCAGCAAATTTCTCAACAAAGACATAGCGGGAGTACTAATCATTGTTTAGTATGGGTCTTATAAAGAAGTGTCGCATTTAGTTAATGATTTTTAGCAAATAATTTCAAATCCAACTAGTAGGATTTTCATTCAACGCATCATTTGGTTGAATTAAAAATCCTAAACCACAAGGCATGTAACATTTACAATAAAAAGATTTGGCAAGCATCTACAAACAAAACCAAAATGTGGACTTACTTTGCTATTTGAAAGAAATTCATTAATTTTTTGTAAGATAATAAATTTGCGTTAATTTATTTCTAAGAATACCAAAAATGTGATTTTACTTCTTAGCTATTGCTCTTTTGAAAGAAATGCATACATTTTTTAAACATAATAGATTTGCTTTAAAAACTTTCTAATAGTGGAAGTGGCCAGAGACATTTGGAAATGCAAGAAAAATGGAACACCTCTACCAACAAAAAAGAAGAAAAGAAGAACAAAATGGTAATCATATAAACCATCGCCCAAAATTAATAAAGTTCTTATAACTATGTTACAATATAAATGCCAAAAGAAGAAACCTTCCACCAAAGCCGGATTGTACGATCTGAGCTTGAGGTGGCCAAGATAGTATCATCTCTTTGCATCTCACTCCGGAAGAAAGATGTTTCAGAAATGGGGAACAATCTATGAGAAGAAAAATCAAAAGAAAATTGTTGTTGAGAAATTTGGTGGCCAAAATACTAAGAGACTGATATCATTGAGAAAAGAAATGTTAATGCATTGTGAATTCTATGGTTAAAATGAATTTATCATCAGAAAATTCAAACATATCGCTTCATCACGAAATCTTAGTAAGAACAAAATCCATGTATTTCTAAAACAAATCCTCAATTCCAAATTAATATTTTGAAACACAAACGCAAGAGAAACTAAGTAATCATAAGCATCATAAACTGCAGTGGTAAAGGGACATATAAAAAGACAAAAAATAGTAATAGTGCTGATATTTTAAGATATGGCATGCATGGTAGAATATTACTAAAAGAAAGAATGAACACTTATATCATAAAAAGCAATTCGAATTGATTCTTGCACCAGATTTCTGGTTTGCACCAGATTTCTGGTTCTTGTATATTCTGTCATAAAAATCTTGGTCTTTATATTTCTCAGAAATTTGAAATTAGAACCATCAACATGCATTTTAGAAACAAGGACAATTTCTAAGAAATGGCAAACTTGAGTCTAATACACATGAAATTCAGATACTTTTCAATAAAACAGTGCCACTTATTACATATTCCAAAGTAACATTTGAAATATCATCATCATCATCATCAGTCTTTTCCTAACCATTTAATTTGGAACACGAGAATATAAATGATAAAAACAATAACAGCATAAGTGCATCACCCATACATCTAGACCTATGAAACATAATCGTGTTGGCAAGATGGGGAAAACCAGATTAAGCAGTAGGCCAGATTTATTCCCTAGGAAGATGTGCTATTCAATTTATTGACAGTTTTTTAACTTCCTTTTCTTTTCAATTTGTAAGTGATCTTAATGCTTTGATGGCCTATCTATATATGATAATGGCATACTTTATAACACATGCATCAAGTTGATCATAGCCAGTTAAAGTTGGTAGACAAACATAAACTCCATCAAAGCGTGAAATCCTGAGAAACAAATTACAAATACATGCCTACATAACCATATCTAATCTAGATATGTAGCCATATCTAAGTCATAAACCTATCCTCTTTTTCAAAATTTTGGGTATCATCATATCCATACTGTAGTATAACCCTCTAACTGTATCGCTCTAATATTTCATAGGCTAGAAGCACATGACAAAAATTGAACACACTTTGAGTCTCACAAAAACCAAATCAGCTCCAAATAGGAGTTCATTTTGTTGAACTGGAGCATTGTTCATTTTCTTATGGGCCCATAATCATCCTTTTCTCTGCATACACGGAGAAGTTTTGCAGGAAAAACTAGAGCAATAACATTAATGATAATCATGTGGTAATCACATCTTTGGATCAGCAAAAAAAAGTCATACTGAAAGACTTTACCACAATTTTTAAAAAAGATGTTACACAAAGGGTAATTTGACAAAAACATAAAGATAAATGCTTAACCGCAAAAAATAAAAAATTATTGGGTGTTAATGACCCAGCAATGATTTTCTTTTTCTAAACCAAAAAAACAGTTGTCTTGAACTTCTCTACCCCTTTAAGTTGATGGGAGCTTGTCAGTAAACAACATTATATGACATGTTATATTGGGAGCATAGTAAATCATATGGTTCTCACACGCATGTGTATAAAGAATACCAAATAGTTCATATAAGAATTATTAAAATTTTACAATTTCAAAGCAATATATGGATAAGTATTTTAATTTGTATTTATATGTAAATCGGTTGGGTCCACATATGAATCTTTACGATTTTGGCAGGAGTTATCATATATATTCAATGGATCCAAATCTGTTTGTGGGTGGTATTTGAACGTTACTAGAAGGCATTACAGTATTACTGGGTTGATCAAGCAAGAGAATGGTTAAAATAGAGAAAAAGCGAAAAGAATTCTAGAGAGAGAAGCTCGCAGTATTTAGTTCACTGTAGAAAGAGATACAAAATACTATATATGTCCTATCCTATGCCCTTTGACCCTATATTAATAAGGCCACAAGGACAGCCATGCAAGTGGAAAATAAATAAACTAATACATTTATAACAAGATCTTGACACATGGACATTGTCATTAAAACTCAAGCCATATGAAGATGACCACCAAAAGGTATGAATTTCATGGGTTCCTAGATTCACCTAAGATATTTTAAGACCTAAGAAAATCCTTCATGGTCCTAAACGACCTGTATCATGGGCGAGTTCTGCTATATCCTTTTGAATGCCTCATGGTTATGGGAGAGTGTCATCTAACCACAGGCAAGTATCATCTAGCCCCGAAAAGCTACTTCTTGATCACGTATTAATTGTTTCCATAAGCGTATAATATTAAGTCCTATAACCATCATAACTTTCATCAACTATCATAAGATGCATTTTACTATTGTACATTGAGATAATAAATGGCATATGGTACTTTATCATGAGTTATCAATGTAAGTCAAGTTTAAAAGAATAAGAATAATGTGCCCTATGGATCATACCTTTCAAAGGACAATGTAAATAAATGGTGTATCTTTCATCTCAAGACAAAAGCATCCATTTAGGGTCATAAGTTATGTTGCCCATAAAAGTAATGTGTTGGCTACACAAATACTATATTGCAATTAGCATAACTTATGTTTCAATACACTTTAAAACTTGCTTAATTATGACATTTTAGTTATTACAGCTTTTGCATTTATTTATACATTCTTTTATATGAATGGAAGCATATTCAGCACATCACATCCTTCATTATTTGATAAAGAATCACATGTTTCATTATTTGATAAAAAACTTCTTGTATTTTCAAAAAATAAATTACTACTCTTGAGCCTGAAGAAACCTTTTTCCTAACCCTCCTGCTAAGTTTGGGAATTGACTTTTAGGTTAGTTTCATTCTTTCATCCTTATTTTCAAAATTAAGTTAATTATTGTCGTAGATACAATGAAAGCTTGATTGACTTCAACCCAAATACTCCATCTATGAGTAAACACAGAGATAAAAAAAGAAAGAAATAATAAGGAAAACATAAGAGAATATCCTAATTTGAATTGCAATAGTAGAGACAATATAATGAAATTTTTAATCATTCTATAAAAAAAGTTTCAACTTGCTACAAAGATTAGAGAAACAAAGAGTCCCAAAGCCTTGGTAACAATATGTGTTAATTCTTACTCATTGGAGAGGGCATGATTTTTAGTAGGATCGCAACTCTGATGAAGTGACAATCCATTTGTAATAATAAATACATTTAAAAGTAATAATATATAAAATAATTTAAATAATAAATAAATTATTAAAATCGATTAATTTAATAATACTTCGATAGAAAAGAGACAAACCTTCACAAAAAATTGGGCAAAACAAAATATCTATTTCACTAACACAAAAGAACAAAACCCAAATACATAAAAAAATAAACACCTACAATTCTAGAGGTGAAGTGATATCTCCCAATCCCTAAACCTGACACAAACAATTTGAGAGGTAGGTTATCTCTCCTAAACTCTAACCCTAAGATTCAAGACAACAATCATACATAACACTATAATCCTAAACATATTATACCTATTTATACGCCACAAGAATAACTTAAAAAGTGACTAAATTGTCCGTACTTCTAACATTAGTTTTCAAATTATTTTGGTGGGCTCGACGTCCACTCATTGGAGCATGAGGTAGACGATGTCATAGGTGTCACAAGAATAACTTAAAAAGTGACTAAATTGTCCGTTTTGGTTTTATTTCTAACATTAGTTTTCAAATTATTTTGGTGGGCTTGGGGTCCACTCATTGGAGCATGAGGTAGACGATGTCGTAGGTGCGGTGTCAATCAAATATTACTCCTCTCCCAAAAAAACAATTAATCCTCAAAGTGTAAGAGAGAATTTCTATTGAATCAAGTCATATGGCTCTTGAGTGGCATCCTCATCCGGGAATCCTTTTCATTTAATTGGAAATAAGTAATGACCCTCGTGAATTCGAAATGTAGTCTTGTGCACATCCTTATGTCACATCTGAATCTGTTGGTATGCTGACTTCGGGTGCGTTTGTTTCGTCTGTGATGTACGAAATCTCAGTTGAAAAACTATTGTGGGAAATTTGTTGTTCAAAATCTGGTGTTTCAAAAAGCATTAGGTCTGTTTGAAATATATAGTTTTAAAATTACCATCTGTGGACAAATGTCTTAAGTACCCCTCTCATATTATATAGAATTCATAGGTTTGTTTGAACAAAAGTTTTTCAGACATTTGTTAATGGTTAACAAAAAAAAATATAAATGTAAACTCAAAAGTTAAATTATAAAATTAAATGGTGTCTAAATTTTAGAAATAACATTTTTCTAAAATTTATTCTCTTATATTTTTTGTGTGCATAAATGTGAACAATATAGTGTGTGTTTGGGGTAGCTTATTGCCCGCGGTGGCGTTTTCAAAACGCAGTCGTGGCGTTTGGTAACCGCGTTCCTAGCGCGTCATAGGAAACGTCATTTTTTATTTGTTAATAATGCGGACAGCAAGATGACCCCCACGGTCCGCATTTGTTCGCTGATTATTACGCTAGAGCCCTCCTCTCATCTCTACCCTAGCGTGATCGCGGTTCTCTGTTCTTTGGTTCTGTCGTTCAGTCGTTCTCTCCTTCTCTCGTTCTCTCCTACTCCTTGCCTTTCACTCCTCTCCACAATTTCTCTTACCGACAGATCTGTAAGTACAATATGAGTATGGAATTGTTTTTGTTGGATGGAATGATTTTCGTAGTAGGTGTTCCTTCGACTGAGATTTGGATTTCGTTGGTTGGTTTGTGTTGGTTTTCGTATATAGGACTTTAATGCATCATTCTGGTGAGATTTGTATGCTATGCATTCTTCTGTTGGCTGAGATTTGGAATTTCGTTGGTTGGTTTGTGTTGGCATTCACCCCTTCACTGCATTGTGAGGCTTTCGTATTAAAGTTAAAGCTTATTTTATATAATCCTATGGCATTCACCCATTCACCCTTC